GAGGGGAGATGATGTAGGAAGACAAAAGGACCTAGCATACACATTTAGTGAAAAACACAGCCAGAAATCAAATTTTAGCAGCAGACCAAGTCAGGGATACTTTCCAAATCATTGTAATGCTTGAGACCCTAAAAAGAAGGATCCTCCTAGATCCCTTTTTAGATCTACTACCCAAATCTTTGGGATCTACTGCCTGCTTAGCTTCTTTCAAAGGACTGTCCTGAGGAAATCGCTTTGAAAACCACAATGAGCCACATAAATCTGAGTTCTCATAATTATCATCATTTTGGGCAATCTTGACATGAGCTATTTCAGCAGTCTATGCCTTCTGTAGCTGAATGTCCCTTTGGGTTATGGACCACCTCCTTCTGATTTTCCCATGCCTGTCTCATCTTCCAGGAAGTTTGCCTGGCCAGGAGAGAAAAGGGAGAGGGTGAAAGCCCCAAGGAATAGGGCTCAGCAAGCTTCAGAATCTGCCCCCTCTTCAGAGAAGAGTCCTTGAGCTCCATGGGACTGGAGACCCCATTCTCATTGCCATGACAACTGCTTCTGTGAGGCCAGGGAAGACTGAAGAACTTCAAATGTGTGTGTGAGTAGGGGGGACAGTAATAGGGAAAGGAGAGGTACCACATCTGGGCTTCATTGTTTCCAATAATTTTTTTTAGGCAGTTGGGGTTAAGTGACTTGCCCAGGGTCACACAGCTAGTAAGTGTCAAGTGTTTGGTCTGAGGCTGGATTTGAACTCAGGTCCTTCTGAATTCAGGGCCGGTGCTCTATCCACTGCACCACCTAGCTGCCCCTCCAATAATTATTGATCTTGACACTTGAATGAAGAAGACAGTTTGATCTTTCTGTCAAAGCAACCTAAAGTGAGATCGAGATTTGGGAATGGGACAGTGATTGGTGACATGGGCAAGGGGCTTAGAAGCCAGGCCTCTGGAGTTCCTGGTTGAACTGAGAAGGCTCTCCTCCTAACCATTCTTCCCCATCCTTTCCCTTAAGAGCCCAAGGAGGCATAGAGCGATCTAGACATAAAAATTGTATCTTTTAGACAACTTTGCTACATCATGGACTTCCATCTACAACTTTGGCAAAGATTCAGGCTACTCTGGCAGTCAAGATGAGACCACTGTAAGAATTTTTTCCACTCTCCCCATTCCCAGTGCCTATCTGTTCCTTCCCCCTTCAAGAACCAACGTCAGTGACCATTACTCATAACCTCCCTTTTGAGCTTCTCTACCCAGCTTTCAAAGCCCCTCGGCCAGCCACCCTCATTTCATTTTCTATGAGATTAATTTGCTGACCAACTCCCCTCTAACCTCCCCCTCCTCCATCCTGGTGGCCAATAACCAATTCTGAACTTCTCCACAAGCCACGCCCCTGCCTCAGATGCCCTTCACTCCATATCCTTAGCTCTCCTTGAAAGCCTGGTTCAAAATGTTCTTTCTCCAGGAAGTTTGGCTTCACTTGGCTCTGATGACACTTTTATAATATGTCCCAGCACTAAATTCGTATCACAGTTATGTCTCACTCTTTAAGCAAACAGTAAATGAACCCATATTTAGAAAACTCATCAACAAGGGGTGACTATTTTACAAAAAGGGAATCAGTTTTGGTCCTGATTGTGCTACTGTATACTTGTATGACCTTCAGCAATGACTGAATAAGCATTTATTAAGCACCTACTATATGACAGGTACTGGGGATATACAAAGACAATAAATGCCTCAATCTCTACTCACATTCTACTGAGACCAAATCACTTCCTTTTTCTGAGTCTTACTTTATATGTTTGTAAACAGGCTGAATAAGAAGATTCTGCCCAGTTTGAACATCCTGTGCTTCTAGAAGTTTTTGCTTAACAAAAGGATTCACCATGGGATCCATCTAAACAGTGAATTCCTTTAGTCACTAGAGTCTAGTGCATTTATTCATTTTCCCATTTTTCTTTCTCTTTTTTTCCCGGTGAGGCAATCAGGGTTACGTGGCTTGCCCAGGGTCATACAGCTAGTAAGTGTCAAGTGTCTGAGGCTAGATTTGAACTCAGGTCCTCCTGACTCCAAGGCCAGAGCTTTATCCACTGTGCCATCTAGCTGCCCCCATTTTCCATTTTTTCAAAAACCTATCTATTGAATGAAGGAAATTACTCCTGTATGTTCATCTAAGTTGTCTTTAAGATTCTTCAGCCATTACATGTAGCTGTATTGTTCCCCTAAATAAATGGTAAGCACCATAAGGGGCAACCATTCTTTTTTTCGTGGCCCTTTCATGTATCCTTTGCATAGTACCTATATGCAGGAAGGTAGTGTAACCTGAAGTCTCCAGTGATCTCAGTCTTCTTCTAATGCTACTCAGTCCTTCTCATATTTAGGATAATAGATGATGTAGACCTGGAAGAGACTTCAGAGGACATTTGGCCCAATTCCCTAATTTTGCAGATGAGGAAGCAACTTTAAAGATGGGAAATGACTTGTCCAAGGTCATCTATATATGAAATAGCAGAGCTGAGATTTGAAGCCAGGTTACCCTGACTTCCAGTTTACTAAATCCTGATCCACCCCCCCAGTCTGGGTCTCTTCCCATTGCACTATGCCACCCTAATTTAAAGAAGGTATATTCAAGTATGGTGGCTGGATAGGGTGAGGCCTCATCCCTCACTCTTAGATTACCCCCAGGAAGATTTCATCTCACCCATTTCTCCTGTGCAATGGAGGCGAAAGAGGAACAAGATTGCCAAGACTCACGTGTCAAGGACCAATGATGATAATAATTCTAAATGCCAAATGAACTTCCAGTCCTTCAGGCCACATAGGCCATCCATGGCTCCAAGATCATATCCAACCCAGCAGAAGAATTCTATGTTCTTTTGGGGTAAGAGAATGAATATAAGTGGATAGCACTCTGGCCTTGGAGTCAGGAGGACCTGTGTTCAAAATCTGGCCTCAGACACTTGACATTTACTTAGCTGTGTGACCCTGGGCAAATCACTTAACCCTGACTGCCTCACCAAAAAGATTAAAACAATAACAAAAAAAGAATAAATATATGGGCTCATAAGGAGCAAAGCCATCCTGGCAGGTCATCCCAATACCTCTGGAGAATGACTTCATTTTCGAGATACATATGCAGATGTGGCTATACTAGTCAGAATCCAAAGGGAAAAAAAAAAGCATTCAAGGGCAAGAATTTTCAAGCTAGGGTGCATTACCACAAGACTTGGCTGAGAGCCAGAATAGGAGCCAAAGCTGATGATGCCTTAAGGCCAGCTGGGGCTGCCTAAGAACTCCCAGGGAAGAGATGTTTGGAGATTGGATATGACACTTTGGGTTGGAAATAAAAGCAAATTTTACTTTTGCCATTGGTCCTTCTTTGGGTCCTACTAATTCTTTTTTTTCCTCCCCATATTTGCTCTTTCTTCTTGCTTCCTTTTCTCTTATCTCCATCTTACCTGTTGTCATTTCTTTACCTTTCTTGTGTCTCTGTACCTCTTTTTTGCATTTCTTTCTGTTTCTACCTTACTTTTTGAGAAAGAAGAGCTTTCAAGGCCTTTTCCTAAAACTTAGAGTTGGGGGGCAGGGGGGAAGGGGAAGAAAGACATTCAACTTTTACAAGTGAGGAGTCGAAAACCCAGGAAGCTATTTTCATTCCCTTCTCCCCAACTCCTTTGTCACCCATGGGGAAGTAGAAGGATCCCTAATACTACCCTCACATCCCTCAGGGTGAAGAAAGATGCTCAAGGGAAGTTGGCAAAGGATCAGAGCTGAACCTTTTCCCAGTAGTTACTCACGGATTCATAGAACGTTAGAGCTAGCTGGAAGGGAGAAACCATCTAGTCTAACCCCTTTCTTTTGCAGAGCAGGAAAATGAAGACCCTCTTGTCCAAGGTCCTGGAATCTCAGAATTTCAGAGGTGGAAGGCAGATAAAATATTGTCTAGTTCTACTTGTATTTGAGCAGGACTGCCTTAATCCTCAACCCCAAGTGGTCATCCAGCCTGTTCTTGAACACCCTTGGAGAGGGGAAGCCCTCAAGGCAGCTCATTTCACTTCTGCATAGCTTTAAGTATCAGAAAGTTTTCCTCCAACATTAGACCTAAATCTAAATGTGTTTCTGAATCTTCAGGTCATTGCTTCTATTTTTTGCTCTTTGGGACCAAATAGAATTAGTCTAATCCTTCTTCCACATAAACCTTTTTCATATACTTGATGACAGCTATTATGTCTACTCTGGGTCTTCATTTTTCCAGGTTAAGATCTCTGCAGTACCTTCAATCAATCTTTGTATAACACAATGTCCAGACTGTACTCTGTCCTCAGAGGTGGGGAAACTGTGGCCTCCAGGCCACATATGGCCTTCTAGGTCCTCAGGTGTGTGGCACTTTGAATCCAAACCTCACAGAACATACCACCTTAATAAAAGAATTTGTTCTGTAAAACTTGGACTCAGTCAAAAGGCCACACCTAAGGACCTAGAAAGCCATATGGCATCGAGGCTGCAGGTTCTCCACCCTGTTCTGTTCTCATTCCTGTCTGTCAAGGTCCCCCGCTAAGATGCGGAGCCCAGAACTGGACCCAACATAACGCTGGTCCAAAGAGCTGTCATTAGAATCCAGATCTGGCCAATCACTGCATTAGGCCGCTGCTGGCTGTGATGTGCACAAGCAGACTTCCTGGCTGAGGCAAGAAAAGGGTAAGGGAATGGATACAATGACCTTGTTGTTTCTCCCAGGCTCCCCTTCATCTTGCTCCTTACCCTGGCCAGAACTATAAGGAAAAGTACTTCTGCAAGGATGACATCTCAATTTCAAACTTCTCCTAAGACATGGTGACAATTAGAGAGTGCTTACTGTTGTCTAACATTCACTTATGGTATTACTGCAACATAAGCCTCTTCTTGAAGGGACAAAACCCAACCTTCCTGCCATAGAATCCCTTCAGGGCCTCAAACCAAGGCTGGCTTCTGCCAGCTTTCTCTTTCCCAGAAAACAACACCAATACACCCTCACGACAAAGATCACGCCATTTATTTACATGGGATTGGGATTGGGGTAGGGATGAGGCGCCTGTTCTCTACTATCTTGGTCTCCAACCCCAGCTCAAAAAAATGACTTGTCACCACTTCCTCCTTCAAACAGGGTTTTCTGGCATAAAGGACAAATGGAAGAACTTGGGCGGAATGAACACAGAGGTAAGAAAGGCATAGGCTCAGGATGCAGAGGCTGAGAGCCCCCATCCCTCTTCTACCCTATGATCTCAAAGCACTTACCAATATTCAGAAGTTGGGGTGACTATGTACATGTGTGTGTATATGTGTGAGTGTGGAGGGGGAGGGTATGGTTGGGTGATATCCCTGCCCCTTTTCAAAGAGGCATGCTCATCCTTATTCGGCATCAAGACTTCTGCATACCAGCTATTCCCATCCCACCCCCAGACTGGCAAACCCCTATATCTCTTTGGGGGAGATGGTTCTGAAATTAGAACATAGGACCCTCCTTCCTGCAACATCCTTGAAGGGCAGGGAAAAAAATCCCAGCCCCTTCTGGGACAAACCCTAATTCCCAGGGGACGGCCAAAGGCACTGGTCACTTCAGACCTGGACAAGCCCCTGGTGGTCTTGAGCACATGGAGAATGTCTTTGTGTCTGTGGGTGGGTAGGGGGAAGGTGAAAGGGAACGGTATCAACATTCTGTGCTTGGGGGTTATGTAGTCAACAAGGACCATTGTGGGTATTGAGAAATATCCTGTCTCCCTTCTAATTCCAATCCCTAATTAGGATTTATAAGTCATTTCTCCTAGATTCACTCTCCACCTCAGTCTAGCAAACCACAATTTGTCCCTAGGGCCGCTGGCTTTTTCTAGCTGACTCTTTACCCATTTTGACCTGCTCCTAGAACTGGGACATCCACTCTCTCCTCCAAGAAGCTTCTTTGTGCCTCACTCCATATCTGCAGCACTGATGTCAAGATCCCTCTCTGGCAGGATCATCCCATTTTGTTTCTGTATCCTGAAAGAGTATCCATCTCCCTCCCCAACAGGACAACAATTTCTCCTTTCCTCTCTCACAGAAAAGGCCCCAAAAGGACTGTGCACATAAACGGTGTTCAGAATAGGAGTATATACTGGGGGAACGAAAAGGGGAGTGTCTTATACAGACTGCCTGCTCCACCTGCACCCAGGAGACCATTTGGAAGCATCAAAACTCAAAACCCTTCATTAGGGATGTGGGGTAAGGTTGGAGATGGAGCTGGTGCGGAGTGTTATGGGAGGGCTCTGATAAGAAAGCTGGGGTATGGCCAGAATTAGACACAAAAAGATCCCATAATCAACTAGGAGGGGCAGATCAATATCCCCTGAAAAATTAAGCCGATCATCCCATGACTCAGTTCCATTAAAGATAAGTTATGGAAAATATGGGAGGTAGTCAGGGATGGAGTTGTGAAACCCCCCTAAAAAGTCAAAATTGCTTAAATATCTCTTGCCAAAGGTCAGGCGGGGGCAGAATGGAGGAGAGATGCACAATTAGAACCAAGAGACTCAAGACAGAGCTATGAGGTTAGGTTGCCATGCCCCAAATGCCTCTCCCCTTACTGTCTGAAGAGGCTTGAAGACCAGAGAGACAGGGGGTGAAGAGTCATAGGAGATGAGGGTATGGATTTGGAGAGGTTCGGGGACTGTCAAAGGAACCAAACGATGTAGGGGAGGTCAGTGTTTAGGTGTGCATATGTGGATGGGGGGTGGGGTGGAGGGGATGGACTCAGGGATTAGGAGGGCTGAGAGCCCAGCAGTCTCTCAATGGCTGCATTAATATCCCCACCCGTAGCAATTAGGGCCTGCAGGTTAGCCTCTCGATTGATGAAGCCCATGGCGTTGAGCTGCTCCAGCTGTTGCTGAAATCGAATCTCTGGTGTCTGCACCTGGAGGGAAGATACCCTGATGGTAGGATTCATCCTGCAGGTATATGTTCTTGGGGACTGCTGGCCAAAAAAATAGCTAGATGGGACTCCACTCCTCTTAAAAGGAAGACAGTTTGCCCAACAACTCAGAATAATGCTCTCCCAATCTTGCCTTAGTTTTCTGAATCTGGTGGGTGCAAAAATTAAATGGAGCCTCTGTTGGGATCTCAAAGAACTGTCTGGATTCATGGATTCAGTGTGGGGAAGGACCTCAGAGAATGAACACCCAGTCCAACCTTGGCCTCACAAAGCCCTCCTTTCTGAGACAGGGAGATGTGAAGCCTACAGCTCCATAGCCAACATCCCATGACTCCCATTACACTCTTCCCCTGATACACACATACTGGCACACAGTATTACTGAAACCCAGACCAGCAAATACACACCTGGGAATTTCCTCCTCCAGCCAAAAGCTGAATCATTTGTTGCATCAGCTGCTGTTGAGGGCTGGCGGTGCCCCCTCCTGGAGAGGCACTAGATGGTGTGGATGGGGAAGTGATGGGGGGTTCTGGGCCGCTGCTACCTCCTGCAGGGGGAGGTGGGATCCGGGGTGCCCCAAAGTTGCCAAGGCTGTGGGCAGGAAGAGATGGGAATCAGTCAATGGAAAGCTGAGAGATGGAGAGACACCAACGACACATGGATGGAGCCAGAAAGAAAGGACAGAGAAATGGAAAAAAGACACAAAGAAGCAGCAAGAGTTCAATGGAGACAGACACACAGAGGCCAAGTGAATGGAACAGAGTGTAAAATTTGGAGCCAGGAAGACATGGGTTCAAGTATTGCTGCAGAACTGACTATGGGACCTCAGGTGAGTCTCTTAATATCTCTGAACCTGTTTTCTGATCTGCAAAATGGGGATAATAATAGTACCTATCTTACCTGGTTGTTGTGAGGCTCAAAATGAGATGAAATACATTAAGTGCTTTGTAAACTTTGAAGTGCTACATAACTAACAGTCATTATGGCACGATAGAGTGGAAAGAGCCCTGGACTGATAATCTCAAAACCTGGATTCTACTTCTAGATCTATTATTAATCTGCTAAGTGAATTTGGGCAAGTTACTCTGATCCTCAGTTTCGTCATCTGCAAAAGGGAGTTCATGAGGCAGGAGGGGGGAGCAGATGGCCTCTAAGTCTTCATCTCCCAGCTCTAACATGTGACGGTGAGGAGAGGGGCTCTCATGGCTGCACAGTTGCCTCACCTGGGCACCAGCCCTGGGGCCTCCGTCTGCAGCGTCTGCAGCCCCTGTTGAATCTGTAGTAGGGCCTGCATGGCCCGGGGGTTGGTGAGAATGGACAGCGAGTCTGGGTTCTGCATCTGGTGATGGGAAAAAAGAAAAGAGCTTGGGCAACTCCCCCTCCCCCCAAGAGAGAAAGAGGTAGGGAGGGAGAGAGGAAGGAGGACTCAGAGCAGTCCGAAGTTTTACATCTTAGGGCAGGTGTCAAATTCCTTGCCTAAAAATTCCCCAGGAGTTTAATTACATTAAAATGTAATTGGACAATGTTTAACAAAAAAAATAAAAATACATCACAACAGATAACATTAATTTGTGGTTCCCTAAGTCAATATGCTGTCCCAGGGATCCCCTTCTATTTGAATTGGACAACACTGTCCTAGGAGACCACCCCACCCCCCACCCCCCACCATGCCACAAGGTGCCTCCTCCCCCACATACACACATCTATATACATACTTCTTCTACGTCCTCTGCCCATATAACTGGAACTCCTCCCCCCAGTAATGTAAGGCTTTCCCCTTAGGGATTCAAACACCATCCCTTCCTTAGACTGTTAGATCTTACCTGCTGCAGAAAGACAGGGAGCTGGAGCCTCAGCTGCTCCTGCAGCTGGGGGTTTCCCGAAAACAATGGGACATTCACCATCATCTACAGAGACAAGGAACCTATTAATTGGGAGCCCAGACACTTGGGACCTACACAAGCACCAAGGAGGGAACTGGGAACCAAGGCCTTGGAGCAAGCTTGGATGATCAGTCCTTTTCAGCTCAGGCATCAGTTCTTCCCCCAACAAAGCTCCCTCCCCGCCCAGTTCAGTACCTGAGCAGCAAAGTCGGGGTTCTGGGCAAGTGTCTGCATCATACTTCGCATATATGGGGCAGAGATCATGTTTTGCATTAGCTGGGGATTCTCTGAAATTTGCTGGAGAAGACCTTGCATCTCAGGGCTATTAAACATCCCTAGAATGGGGAGAAATCACAGGAGAAGGAATTCAGACAGGAATCAGAAGTTGTATTTTATTCATTTCTCATCACATCTCTATGTGCACAGCTCAGAAAGACCAATAAGATAACACTCTCTTGGAGGGTTTTCCTTTCTCCCTATCCCTGTTCAGAGCTAGAACATTTCCCTGTTATTTTGCTAAGGAAAGATCAGTATTCCCAAGAGCCCTGAGTCTGGTCCCTGATCCCCTGGAGCCCAGGGGCTCCACTCCCCGGAGCAGAGAAGAAGAAGGAAAGTCAAATGTAAACGGAACACATCTTCCTGCCCAGATGCAGATGGTTGTGGTTACTGATCGAACATAAGCTCCTTGAGGGCAGGGCCAGAGTGGCCAGCATTTTGGTGTTTAGCATGGTACGGGGTATATGATGACACTTAATAAATGCTACTTAGTGAACGACTGATCTGGGAGAGGACGGGTCATGTCAGGTGTTCAGTACTTTCCTTCACTTGGAATGATTCCAGGAGATTTCCAACCCTTTTTAAATAGCCAAGGGAAGCAAACCCACTGGATTAGATTTCCCCCCAGTAGAATGTAAGATCCTTGAAGGCAGGGATAGTTTTCCATTTTGGTTTCCCCAGGGTCTCTCACTGTTTCTTGCATACATTAGGTGCTAAATACTTGCTGGATTGAATTGTTGGATTAGACAGAGAGAAACCAGGATGGAATGGCAATGAACTGCTTTCTAACTCCTGTCTACACCCCCCCTTGCAGGGACTTCATGTCACAAGGCTGATAATCCAACCTCAGATGTGAATATCCTTCGAAGGGGTGACCAAATTCTGTTCCTGGGCAGGGGGATGCTGTGTTGACCCCTCTACACTCCCCCCACCCCCCACAACATACCTGACCCCAGGCTAGCTGCATTGATCCCAAAGGGGTTGGAGACTGTTGGGTGCACCTGGCTGGTCCCTGAGCCTCCGGTGCCCTCCCCAGTGGGCCCTGGGGCCTGGGAGGTGGGGGCTGAAGGGCTCCAGGGGTTAGGGAGGGGCTCCCGGTTCTCAGTCCGGAGAGGTTGGGAGGAGGAGCTGTCAGAATTCCCCGCCAATGAGGAGAAGGGATTGTTGCCGAACTGGGAGGAGGGAAAAGTTTCATATTAAGGAGTGAAAACAAACCTCTCCCTAAAGCTTCCCCCTCCCCGTGGAGAAAGGAGCAAGATGGAAATCTATTGAGTTAATTGTACAGACAAGCTAATAAGGGCCTACAGATAATCCAGAATCATCTGTTTCTAGCACTGGTATCAACATTTCTGCTCTTCTTATTTCTCCTGCTAAGCCACAATCACTGGGTCTGAATCCACTGCCTCTAGATTCTGCCTCTAGCACTTGGCGTAGTACCTCATCCACAAGGGCCACTCAGGACATGGGATGCTAACACATTTTCTCATCGACTGTGTAACTTTCAGCCTGGTACATACCATACCCGCACTGGGACCATCTCCTGCCTGATGGAGTTTTGGGGGATGAGGGATGAAAAGAGACAATGACCTTGATCATCTCAGCTTTGTGTATGAGAGCTCTCTGATCTTTAACCAGCCCCTCCCTCTGAGACACCGAGGTCATGGAGGCCCTCAGCCCCACTGCTCGCTGGCTCTCACCTGTTCCCGAGCAGCACTGAACATGGGCTCTTGGATGTCTGTGTACATGCGGCGCAAGGCATTGTATCCCCCAGGGATGCTCTCTAGGTTGCTCAAGGCCCGGTCCTGGTTGCGCATCATCTCTTGCATCATGGCAGGGTTTCGAGCCAGTTCCATGGTCTGGCAGAAGGAAGAAAGACAGCTGGGACCAGAGTGTGCTGACAATGGGGCAAATCTACTTTAAACCCAGCTCCCCATCCTATCCTGCCTTTCGGACAGGAAAGTAAGGGGAGCAGATACCCTCCTTCAGAGGTGGCTATGTCAACAATATTATTTAGGGGAGACAAGACATGATGGGACTGAGCAGAAAAGAGCTAGGGTTTTGAAAGCAGCCTGGCCTGAGGCCAAAATGAACTGCTAAGAAAATCCAAGTAAGAAAAGTTAAGCTGGTTCTATGTGCCCCCTTTCTTTCACCTGTGGCTAGGAGGATCAGGGATAGGTGCTCTTTTGGAGCCAGATGGCTCCCCCCTCCACGTAGCCTTCCCAAACTGACCTCAAATTTATCCCACCAACTCCTTCCCATACTCCCAGCATATATGGCCAGGGACCATGTATCTTCCACCTTCTGGATCTCTACTCCCACCAAAACCAAGCATCTCAGCATTAACCAGGGAAAGAGGTATTAAACCATCTGCACAGTCTGAATAGACATTCTCTACCTCACCACATCCAGCCTCCACCCCTCTTGTGCTCCATATTCCCTCTTCTGAGTAACATACCCCCTTCTGCTTCCACCCTCGTAGAATTTAACTTCCTTGAAAGCAAAAACTGCTTTTCATCTCATTCCATATTTCCAGTGCTTTACACATAGTAAGCACTTAATAAGTGCTTGTTGGGTTGGACTGAATTGGATTAGAAGTCTTCCTGGACTTCCGCACCATGATAATATCTAAGTCTTGTCAGCTGGAATGGAAATTTCTGTCTCTGTGTTGGTGACTGTGTGTCCTGGGGATGTATATTTTCCCTATTTCCCTGAAGCTCTCTTGGGGCAGAAATCATCTCTCTTTTTGTTCCCATTGAGGTTCCAGCATTGAGAGGGAAATAATCTGTCAAGGAAGGGATAGTGACAGGAAGATTAAGGATAAAGGGGTTGGACGGCTTCCCGCCTGCTTCCTGAAAACACATACACACCTGCCTCATTAACTCTGGGTTATTGAGCATATGGCTGATCTCTGGATTCCTCTCCATGAGCTGCTGCATCTGTGGATTGGCCATGATCATGTGGCGCATCAGGTCAGGGTTGGACATCATGTCTTGGACAAGGGGATTCTCCATGATCTGGGACAGCATCTCAGGGTTGGACATCAGCTGCCTCTGCATCTGCTGTTGTAGCTCCATGAAATTAGCTGAGCCGAGGCCTAGGCTGCCCAGTCCTAGGATGCCCCCAAAGCCAGCTGCAGGAAGGGTAACTGAGTCATGAACACAGCATAGACATGCTGCCATGTTTCCCACCTCCCTGTTCCTACTGTGACAACATTAATTCCTTCTAGGTTTGGTTATGGCTGTTCGCTCAGAATTGCTCCTTCCCATTCCTTTTAACAAGGCCCCATCCCTGCATTCATGGAGGGCTTCATCACACTGCTCCTTAGCTTATCCCTGAATTACTTTCCTTAAGGGCTGTTCTACTTCCTTATGCTGCTCCTTTTCCAAATCACAAGTGCTTCCTTCTTGCCAATATTCAAACCTAGGTCAGCAGCCAAGGCCCCCAGGACTGTCTCTCTCTTGATCCTGATTCTATCTCAGGTTCCTTCTTGAGGGCAGAGACTGTTTTTGCCTTTCTTTGTAGCCCCAGTGTTAAACACAGCGCCTAACAGATAGACAGCATTTAAGAAATGCTCACAAACTGATCTCTTAGGAATGCTCAGCCTGGTTCCATCTGGGGCACCTGAATTTCACTCCCCCTCTTCCTTGCCACCCAACCCTCCCAGCATTCATAACCATGATAGAACTTCTGCCCCCAACTAAGGGCATACCATATTCTCCTCATTACACAACTACACCAGGAGTTCTTTAAGAGCAGGGGACACATTTCTTCCCCTGGATTTCTACCCCCACTAAACCCAAAGCGGAACACAAGCATCTGAGCACTTCCTCCCCAAGTTCCTCCTCAAGTGGCTTACAGAGTATGGATGCAGGCCCACTAGAAGGCCCATCCCCAGCTCCTGGGGTTGGACCACCTCCACTGTTCCTCTGGTTTCCACTAGCAGCATCAGGGACAGTGCTGCTTGAGGTGGATGGCTGAGCAGGGGCAGCAGGTGAAGCTGTCGTGGGGGCTGGAGCAGAAGCAGCATCTGGGACAGAGGAAGCAGCAGTAGCAGCGGTGGCAGCAGCAGCAGTGGTAGCAGTGGTGGCAGCAGCAGGATCTTGAGCCCTGAGGACAGAGGAGGGAAAATCCTAAACCAGGAACCCAGGAATCAAAGAATTGCAGAAGCATAGAATGTTAGAGCTAGAAGAAATCATGTGGATCACAACTCCACACCCCTCTCCCACCCCTAATTTACAAGGAGCCTCAGATGGGAAAGCAGTGCTGACTTAGGAGGACCAGCCTGGCATTCAGGAGATGTGGGCACCAGAACTGGCCCCACTACCAACCTGCTACATGACCACTGGCAAATCACTCAGTTACTTTGAGCCCCAGGGGGAGAAGGAGAGAGAAAAGGATGAAGAGGAAAAGGCATTCCATCCCCATTAGAAATGATTCTTGCCCAAGGTCACATAGCCCCTAGAGGGCAGAGACTGTCTGTCTTGCTTTTGTGTGTCTCTCTCTAGCGCTTTAGCACAAAGTAGGGCTAGGGAAAAGCACTAAAGCTGTGATTTCATTGGTACTCTCTAGGTGAAGAAACTCCCTCTACCAAGTTAGAAAGCAATTATTTATTAAGCACCTACTATGCACAGTGCTTATGCTAAGTGCTTTACAAATATCACATCACTTGATCCTCACAATAACCCGGAAGTGACAGGTGCTCTTACTGTCCCATTTTACCAATGAGGGAAGTAAAGGCAGACAGAGAGATTAAGTGACTTCTCCAAGGTCACACAGCCAGCAAGTGTCCACTGCCCCATCTAGCCAATTTAAGTTAACAACTTCTTTCTAACTTAAGAGTCTTAGAGAACTGGCTACAGCAGTAAGAGGAGACTTGTCCAGGGGCACACAGCCAATATATATCGAAGTAAGACTTGAGCCCAGGTCTTCCTGTCCTTCAGGCCAGCTTTCCATCCACTACACCACATAATAAGCGCTCATTCCTCCCTCACAACTTCCTGATGGAAGGCGTACGTACAGCATTCCCATTTTACAGATGAGAAAACTGAGGTTCAAAGAGGTCAATGATGTCGTTGCTCACAGCTACACAGTTAGTAAACAGGAGTTCCAACACTGGAACTCAGAGCTTTCAGCACAAAGTTCACCGCTCTTTGCCCACTTAATCAGCATCCCTAGATTGCCACAGAAGACAACTGCTCTCCTTCCCAACAACCTGTTGTTCTCCGTCACTCTCTGGAAGTCCTTTCCTTCATAATCTAACCTCCAACATCTGTGCTGGAATTTAGCTAAAAAAAAGTTCTTTTTCACACCCTACTGATTCCTATCAACTCTCAGAGTTCCAGAAAAGAGCCAAAAAAGGGCCACAAGGGACAACAGAACTAGAAAAGAGCCTCCAAGATTCAGAAGGAATTCATACATATAGAGAGCTAGGTGGAAGATAAAGAGTCCTCGACTTGGAACCAAGAAGACCTGGGTTCAAAACCTGCCTCAGACTTTTACTAGCTGTGGGACCTCTCTCAATCTGAGTTTCTTCATCTGTAATATGGGGATAATAACAGCTCTGACCACCCAAGGTATGTAGGTATGTCTACTTATATACTTAAATAATATATATATGTATGTTATAGGAATATGTGTGTGTGTGTGTGTGTGTGTGTGTGTGTGTATACACACACACACATATTTATAAAGACATAGAGAAACTTCTCAATATATAAAATGGTTAAAAGCCATGGGCAGGAAGTTTTCAAATGAAAACTGCAAACTATTGACAACCACATGAAAGAATGCTCCAAATCACTAATAAGAGAAATGCAAATGAAAAGAACTCTGAGGTTTTATCCTATACCCAGCACATAGGTAAAGATGGCTACCTTGTAAATAGTAAATGTTAGAAGATACGAGGGAACATAGGCACATTCATGCACTATTGGTAGAGCTGTGAACTGGCCCAACTCTTCCAGAAAACAATTTGTAACTAGGCTAGAAAAAGTCACTCACCTACATACACATACCTTCCCCCCAACCCCCACCCCAGTAAAATCAATTGGGCCTCCTCATATCTCACCTTGCTGCACTGCTCTGGGACATCGGGGACTTCTCTACCAGGCCCCAAGAACCTTATTATTGGGAAAAATCTCATCATCCTGAAAGAGACTTCACTTCTTTACTACCCTCTGCCCTTCTGACTGAAAGGTGGTGCCATGAACTTTCAAATCTCATTTCTCATCTGGCTTCACTCCTCCAGAACTTTTCTGACTTCTCCACCAAGCTCCCGAATCAGGTACCTACCCTGCCTCCTTCACCTTCCTTTTGTATAGCAGATTGTAAGCTCCTTGAGGGCAGGGACTGTCTTTTCTTTTTAGCACAGTGCCTGGCTTATAGTAGGTGCTCAATAAATGTTTATTGACTTAGTGACTGATTTACTGACATATCCTAAAGAGGTCAAGGACAAAGGGAAAGGGCCCACATACACAAAAATATTTATAACAATACTTTCTGAGGTAGCAAGAAACTGGAAAGAGAGAGGGTACCCATCAATTAGAGCACAGGATCATAACTTTAGAGCTGGGAGTCCATTTTTCATTTTACAGACAAGGAAACTAAGGTCTGGTGAGGTTAAGTGTCAGGTGGGGTTTGAACTGTTCTGACTCTAAAATCCAATGCTCTTCTCAATGGTACCATGAATATAATGGAATATTATTATGCCATAGGAAATGACAAATAAGAAGAGTTCAGGGAAACTTTGGAAGACTTGAATTAACTGATACAGAGCAAAATGAGCAGAACCAAAAGTTTATTATGATTATTTACTCAATTACCATACTAATGTAAAGGAAAACAATGAAAGCCATCAGAACATCAGGCAGCTAGGTGGTACAGTGGGCAAGAGCACTCCCAGTGTTGAAGATCAAATGAGGTAAAATGGCTTGTAAAACTTAAAGTGCTGTATAAATGCTAGCTATCATTACCTTATCCAGGCAGTGACCAGCATCAACTACAGAGGACTGAAAATGTCCCAAAACACATTCCTCTCCTTGAGAGAAAAGTGAAGGACTATAAATGCAGAACAAGGTTATGTGGATGAAACATAACTAATATGATGGGTTTTTTTTTTTCTCCCAAGGAAGAATACTATTTTGTAGGAGAATAGAGGAGGACAGAATTACTGGAAAGATGAACTGAAAAGTCATCAATAAATTTTTTTTCAAAATAATTTTTTAAAAAGAAAACGGAAAGCTAATAAGGGACTGAGCTTCTCAGCAAGGATTTTAAAAGGAAGGGTAAGACACTAGCCTCCATTTTCCCAGGGAACTAACGCTATACTAGGAGGATATTAAGTTAAGTTTTAAGCACTTAAAAACCCCCAAATGGCAATTAAGACTATAGCATCTCCTTCTCTGACCTTTAAATGAGTCCTACTGGGTTAGGATTAGTAAAAAAGCACGGACATTGACCCCAGTAGCCTCTCAAGGACCATTCAATGGACAACCCCTATTGGTTATCCCAAACTTACTTCTGTGGGGTCTTGATCACCAAATGGACAGTGAGCCCATCTTTGATCCCATGCTGATTTAACGTGTCTCCATCTTTGAGAATCTTGCCAGCGAAGATCAGGACAAGCTGGTCTTGCTGGGCCTTAAACCTCCGGGAGATCTCCTCTTTAAACTGTGACATCAGGTCAAAAGTCCTTGGTCAGTGTGGCCTGCCCCACAGCAAGACTGTCCAACAGCTCAGATTCTTCTTTAGAATCCCTTCTCTCCCTTGCTCCAGTTTCCAGTCATCAGAAATCTAGCATTTCTATGTCTTGCCGTATACTCTCTTTGCTGAGATGAAGTCCTCCCTTGATCACAGGATTTGGAGCTGGAAGGGACCTTACAGATCACTCAGTCCAGCCCCAAAAGATGAGTTAACTGAGGGGGTGAAAGGGCTTGTCCAAGGTAAGCAGAGGAGCTTAAATTCAAACCCAGTTTCTCTGACTCTGAGTCTTTTGTCCCTAACACAGCACCTCACAGGCTCCCCCCCCCAAAAATAAGTCCTCGCTACTATCTTCCCTCACTTGGATCCAAAGCCCATGTCCCCGCTTCAGTTTTCTCTTACTCTCCACCTTTAAATATTGGGGAGGGGGGGCATTATCTTTAAACTCATTCTAGGATGGAGGCAATGAAGGAGGGGACAAGGGCCAAGCCAGCCTACAATCAACACCCTGTGGGGCCAAGCGAGGCCTTAAAGGGAAACGTCTGAATGGGGGATCTGGTGCAAGGGGACATCCTCCCCTCATCCCTTAGGGCCAGCTTCTGGCCTTCCTAACCCCACCACCCCTCAGAGCTCCAGGACTGGTCCTGGGACCACGCCGCCCCCTCACTTTCTCCCCTGCCCGGACCCTCGTGGGTCAGAGTGCTCCCCAACCTCACTTCTACAAGCCTCTCCTCGCCCCACCCCGCCCCCGTCTGTTTCCAGGGATGTAAGAGCCTCCCCCAGCCCTCCCCACCCCACCATGTGCCAGAGGCCCCCTCTCTCCCCTCCCCCAGCCTTCCCTCCCCGCCCCCTCCGTCCCTCCCCGCGCGCCCGTGCCCGGCCCGGCCCCCAGCGAGCCGCTCCTCCCGCCTCCGCGGCCCGCGGAACGGACAGCGGCGCCCGTACCTCCTTCACCGAGGCGCGATCGCAGATCACGATCTCCTCCTTGTCCTTGGGGGTCTTGACGGTGACCCGGATCGGGGGCCCTGGCCCCGGCTCGGCCCCGGTTCCGGCCCCAGTCCCGGCCCCGGCTCCGGCTCCGGCCCCGCTCGGCTCCGCCATGCCGCTGCCGCCGCCGCTGCCCGCTCGCCCGCCAGCCCGGCCCCGGCTCCTCCTCCCCGCCCGGCCCGGCCCGGCCACGGCGTCCCCAGCCCTCCCCCCACCCCAGCCTCCTGCCCGCCCTCCGTCCCTCCTCCCCCCCGCCTTCTCTGCCGCCCGCCCCGCCCCGCGGGTCTCCGCTTCCCCTCCTTCTCAGGCCCTCAGCGGCTACAGCGCCCCCAGCGGACCGGGGGCGCCATGGCAACGCGGAGACTCGGCTGTGCGGGGAGGGAGGACGCTCACTAGACTGGACAGACAGTGACTTTAAAGGGTCCTGAGGGTCACTGGATGGAAAGGTCGCTTACCTCACTGGATGACGAGCTCACTGGACAAAGAAGGTCAAGAAGACCTGGGTTCAAATACAGCCTCAGATGTTTGCTGTGTGGATGAATGGATGGATGAAAAAAATTACTAAGCATTTACTCTGTGCAAAGCCGCTGCTGAATGTTTATTTACTGATTTACTATTATGCCCTGGAGAAAAGGAAAAATAAGACAGTCCCAGATCTCAAGAAGTTCAGGTTCTGATGGAGGAGACAACCCACAAGAAAGGTTTCAGCCCAGAGAAATAAGAAAGTGGTCAGCGCCGCAGCAACTCCCCATCCTGGGAAAGACCAGACCCAGAGCAATGGTTTTTCTGTCTCTTCTTCAGATAATATTATTTATCATTCCTCTGAGGGTCATTCCTCTTCCCCTAGGTTAGGGGTCTTGCTTCCCCTTCAGAATCAAATAGCCTCAAGTCACCCCATCGTTTTGGAATGCTGTGTATAGTGTCTCCCAGTCATCCAGATTTTAGGCATCTAGGTTCTAGCCTAGGTCTTGCACTTAATAGGAATAAGGATGGGTCCCTGTGATTTCTTTAGTACAGGGAACTCCTGAGTGAGAACATTCCTTTTACCAATGCAGACCAGCATCTTCTCTACAGAGAGGTTAAGTGACTTGCTCAGATTTACCCAGTCAATGTATGGCAGGGGCAGGACTTGAACCTGCTTGTTGATTGATTGGAATCTAACACCTGATGCCTTATGCTAAATTCCCTCTCCTTCTAACCCCTTTCCCTTAAGTAAACAAAAGCAGTATGCTGTAGTGAAAAGAGCACTAGACAGGGAAACAGTAGCTCAACCAGGAGCTAGCTGTGTGGCAAGTCACACCTTTTCATTCTCATCTATATATAATAGAGATTAATAATGTTTGTCCTTTCTACCCCACAGAGTTGTTATGGGCAACTTGGGTTTAGCACAGTACCTGGCACATAACAAATGCTTAATAAATGCTTGCTGAGTTATATGAAAGTGCTTTGCAAAGTGCAAAGATTTGCGCACACACAAAAATTAAATGAATGACTTATTACAGGCGAACCAGACTACTCCACTTTCCCAGAACGGGTTAAATGTCCTCAGGATTTTTTACTCTTCCCAGGTTTAACTACAGCCCCCAAGATGCCTCGCGGGTTGAGGAAGAACTACAATTTCCAGGTTGCTCTACAGCGGGGGCCTGCAAGGATCGTTCCTCTTGGAGACTACAACTCCCAGTGTGCCTCAGGGGAAGCGGCCAGAGCTACAGTAAGCGTCAGACAGAGCCGGAGCCGGGGGAAGACCCTAAGGATCCGGAGAGGGACCGGGTTACGGGGATTTGGAGCCGTCGTCATGCTTCGCCCCAAGGCCCTGACCCAGGTGCTAAGTCAAGCCAACACCGGAGGCGTCCAGAGCACACTGTAAGTGTTGGGATGAGAGTGGGGAGGGGACATCCCCTGGAGAGAAGGGGGCAATATGTAGTGCATTCTAGCTGAAATTGGGACAGCCCTTTAGTCGGGCCTGGGAGTGGGGAGTGGGAGCTCCGCGTACCCCAGGCAGGGGTTCAATCAACCAGCATTTATTAAGGCATCCCTACTAGGTGCCAGACACTGTGCAGGGGTCTGGGGGGTTCAAAGACAAAAATGAAACAAACTTTGCCTTCCTAGAGTTTGAATTAATTGGGAAATGAAGCCTAGATGAGGAGTGGGTTGGTGGAGGGAGGGAGGGAGGAAGAGTTTTGGGTTGGGGGGAGGGAAGAAAGCAGTGGTTTTCAGCCCAGGGCTGCAAAGTGTAGTGGGGGAGGTTTTTAGCTTGGGGCCCCACCCTGCTGGGGACAAGCGGAATCTCACGAAGGAGCTCAGGCTTCTCACTCCTGGCACATTCATAGGACTCTCTTGTCGGTCATCTTAACCATTTTCCCTCCCACCAGGTTGCTGAATAATGAGGGCTCCCTGCTGGCCTACTCTGGTTATGGGGACACCGATGCTAGGGTCACTGCTGCTATCGCTAGTAACATCTGGGCTGCCTACGACCGGAATGGGAACCAAGCCTTTAACGAAGACAATCTCAAATTCATCCTAATGGACTGCATGGTATGAAGGAAGAGAGTGGAGCTCCTGGAGGGGAGGGATTTAGACTAGATTCCCCTAGTGGGTGGATTCTTAGGGTTACTGATTTAGGGCTGGAGAGATCCTCTAATCCATCCCCCTTGTGTTTTATGGATGAAAAAACTGAGAGCTAAATGATGTGCCCAAGTCACAAACACAGCAAAAGTCCAGATTAGACTATGTTAATAATGGAACGAGTGCTGAATTTAGATTTAGAGAGCCTGGGTTCGAATATTGGCTATATTACTTAAATGTCTGGTATTCTCAGGCAGGTCCCTTAGCCTCTCAGAGTCTGTTTCCTAATCTTGAAATGGAAAGTTTGGACTCATTGACCTTCAAGACTGCTTGCACCTTGAAATTTAATTCTGTTTGACAATCATTAAGCATCAGACGTGTGCTAAGAACTGGGGCAGGGCTACAAAGACAAAACATAAAACAATCCCTACTGTCTGTGAGCTTCCATTCTTCTGAATCTTTGGTCCTCGGAGTTCAAATTCACTGTACTCTGATTACCCTTAACTCAATAGATAAACCTAGAGTAGATCCTGGATGGTTGGAGGGAGGAGGAGACAGAAGCTCCCAAGTGCATCATGGGGGTGGGGTCCCAACCGCATTGTTAGGGCAGAATCTCAAGTAGACCCCAGAAAGTAAGGAGCTGAGCCTGGTACTTTAATTTTCTACCTCATCCAAAGAGACCATTTTATGTGCCTAGGTTCCTGTCCTGACAGGTTACAGTTTTGTTGAGAATTAAATACATCAAATTGAAAACAATACAGGAGAGTATATAGCAATATATGATCCTAGAAAAGATCGTAGAACCCCAGATTTAGAGCTGGAAGAAATCTCAGAAGTTGTCTATTCCAACTTCTAAAGGAAATTGGGGCCCAGGGAGTTTATCTAAAATCACACAAGTATTACATTATTCCAAAAAACCATGATGGTGGGGACAACTGGGACCAATAAGTTGTCATATATCACATTTCCCACCCCTGCAGGAGGGCCGGGTGGCGATCACTCGGGTGGCAAACCTGTTGCTGTGTATGTACGCCAAAGAGACTGTGGGCTTTGGAATGCTGAAGGCCAAGGTGATCCCTTATCCCATCTCTCTCTTTTTTTCTTTTTTTTTTTGTTAATCTCTCCTGTTCTTGCCATGCCTTAGGGTTACCTTTCCTCCTGTATACCCCCACCCCATCATTCCCTCATCTTGGTAATTCTGAGCTCTCTTCCCTATTCCCAACCCTTCTCTACAGTGGGTAGAAATGAGGAGCTCAGAAATCTCAGTCCTGTTCCCTGGGAAAAAGAGTGTATGGGGCTTAAAAGCTTAAGATGATGGGGAGGGAGGGAGTGGAACTGGGAGTCTGGATGTTCCAGTTCCTGACTCCATTAGGTGGTGGTTTTTGTGGCTAAATCGACCTAACCCTCTTACAGGCCCAGGCCCTGGTCCAGTACCTGGAAGATCCCCTCACCCAAGTGGCAGCGTCATAGCAGTCTGGGGATAATGGGCTTGAGAGAGGGGATGAGGGTGGAGGGCTAACCCTTTGCTGGGGGCAGGGCCCCCAGGAAACCTTTCCAATCTCGTTGAATAAACTATTTAATACTTGTCTTATGTCTTAGATTCTTTCTTGACGGGCATGTTTAGTGAGGGAGATATGGAGGAAGGATTAGATTTGTTCTATTTGGCCCCATTGGGAAGTGAATGAAACTTTCAGAGAGGCATATTTAGGCTCCCACAGGTCAGGAAAAACAATTAGAGCTGTCCTAAAGTAGAATGGGCTGCTTTGAGAGGGGGTGGGCTCCCCATCCTTAGCGGTCTTAAAGCAAAGAAAAGATGACCACTTGTGGGGTATGTTAATGGTGAAGATTTCTTTCCTGTGTGTATGGATTGGACTGGAGAGCTGCTGAAGGCCCTTCTGACTGTCAGATTTTGAGATGGATAAAGGGTCACTCCTAGGGTGCATTTTTTTTGTTTGTTTTTTGTGAGGGCAATTGGGGTTAAGTGACTTGCCCAGGGTCACACAGCTAGTGAGTGTTATGTGTCTGAGGCTGGATTTGAACACAGGTCCTCCTGACTTCAGGGCTCTATCCACTTCGCCACCTATCTGCCCCCCTAGGGTGCATTTTTAATAGATTCTTTCCCCTCTCATTGGGAGCCAAATAGTTTTTGGCTGTGGTTTCCCATCTATCATCCATAATCTGCAGTAAGCTTGGATAGATGCCTGAGTTTAGGGAGGAGGGACATAGTGAGGGTCACATTTTATACATGGGGAGCCCAGTGCCTCAACTCCTATTCCGGGGGGTCACGTGACCATTTTATTTCCTCCAACCCCCATCTTCAGGTATACCCATTTTGAATCTGTTTCTTAGTTTTGAAGATGAGTAGGAGCTATCAAGAACTTTTGGCTTCCTTCAAGGGTCTAAATGCCTTTTAATCTCCAGCACACACAAAGATGTACACAGTCTTAACTTGGAATCTGCAAACTCTTTTCAGATGTGCTATCAAGAGTATGGGGCTGGGAAGGAAGCCCCAGGCCAGAGAATGGGTAGCCCTGGAGTCCAGGCAACCT